TTGGCTTGGGGTAAACTAGTATATAAGAGGCACTGGATCCCTAGCTAGTTTGGCACAGTGGATAGAGCATTGGCCTGCGGACTGAAGAGTCCCAGGTTCAATTCTGGTCAAGGGCATGTACCTCTCAATCCCTGGCCCGTCAGGGCATGTGCGGGAAGCAACCAATCGATGTCTCTCATGTTTCTCTGTCTCTCTCCCCCACTTCCACTCTCTGGAAATCAATGGAAAAATATACTTGGGTGAGGATTAACAACAAAAAAGACACTGGATCTAGTTCCAGGCTTACCTTTGCTACCTGTTAACTTACTTTGCAGCAGAGAAGCCAATTCCACAGAATGACAAGATTTTAAGACTGACCTTTGCCTGCCCAACGTGACTCAGTGGTAGAGAGCATCAACACATGAACCAGGAGGTCACAATTCATTTCCCAGTCAGGGCATAACCCCAGGTTGTGGGCTTGATCCCCAGTAGGGAGCATGCAGGAGGCAGTCAATCAATGATTCTCTCATCATTGATGTTTCTATCTCTTTCCCTTCCTCTCTGAAATCAATAAAAAAAAAAAAAATTTAAATAATGGCTGACATTTGTCAAGTGTATCAGCTGATTTCTCAGTTATCAATTATAGTGCTTGTGTTCAAGTAACCCGTATTTTACTTAATAATGCCACATTCACATAACTTTATTACAGTACGTTACAACTGTCCTATTTATTAGTAGTTATGGTTATTAATCTCATACTCTCCCTAGTTTACCAATTAAACTTTATCACAGGGATGAATGTATAGGAAAAGACAGTATACATAGGGCTCAGTACTCTCTGGTATTTTAGGTATCCACTGGGAGTCTTGGAAAGTGTCCCTGACAGAGAAGGGGAGACAACTGTCTTCACTTATAAGCATTTAGCAGGATGTGTGAATATCCCTTACCCAACTTGACCTCATTCCTGGCACTTCTCACTTGGCCTTGATTCCTCTTCCATTTTCAGATTTTCTTCAGGATAAGGGTGGAAGATTTACCTTAAGTTCTAACCCTGCTTCCTGTCCTCCCCATCTTTAAAACATAAAAAGCCCTCACTGTGGCACCCATTCTCTTCTCTAGCTTTTTGAAGAGTTGTATTTTGACTGTGCCATGATTCAGGCAGGCTGATTTCTTCAATCACAAGTTCTTCAAGTTGCATCAGCTCAAACTTCCAAAATGCCTCTGCTGCCATGCTCAGGCAGAGAGAACCTTTTTCTAACTCCACACCCTTGTCTAGGCCACAAACTCATGCTATCTATAATAATAAAAGTGTAATATGCTAATTAGACCGGATGTCCTGGATGAAACCAGGGCTGCAAGGGAAGCCCAGGTCCCGAGTGCCTGCCGGCGGCCTGAGGGAAGCCCGGGTCCCAGAGGGAAGCTGGTGCTGGCATCTGGGGGAAGGCCTACTCTTGCATGAATTTCGTGCATTGGGCCTCTAGTCCTATCTAATAAAAGACAAAAAGAGTAATTAACCGTACCTCCGCTATGCTTCCCATTGGCTAATCATCGAGATATGCAAATTAACTGCCAACAAAGATGGCGGCCGGCAGCCACGCAGCTGAAGCGAGCAGGAGGTTTGCTTGCTCCAGTGATGGAGGAAGCCAAGGTTCCCCGCCTGCCGCGGCCCGGCTCTGAGCTCCTGAAGCAACAGCTCCAAAAGCAACAAAGTTTCAATTATAGAAGCCAAACAAACCCCAGATACCTGCTTTCAGCCAGCCGCGGCCCCAGACCTGGGAGCGCCAGTGAAGGCAACAGAGTTTCAATTATAGAAGGTAAATAAATCCCAGAATAAAAAAAAGAAAGAAAAAAAAAGAGGCTGGGAGCTTCAGTCACAGGCCAGCCTGAAAACGGCCCTCAGCCCCTCACCCAGACTAGCCAGGCACCCCAGTGGGGACCCCCTCCCTGAAGGGGGTGTGACCAGCTGCAAACAGCCATCAGCCCCTCACCCAGGCTGGCCAGGCACCCAAGCGGGACCCCCACCCTGATCCGGGACACCCTTCAGGGCAAACCAGCCGGCCCCCACCCGTGCACCAGGCCTCTATCCTATATAGTAAAAGGGTAATATGCAAATTGACCCTAACAGCAGAACGACTGAGAATGACTGGTCACTACAACACACACTGACCACCAGGGGGCAGACGCTCAATGCAGGAGCTGCCTCTGGTGGTCAGTGCGCTCCCACATGGGGGAGCTCTGCTCAGCCACAAGCCAGGCTGATGGCTGCCAGTACAGCGGTGGTGGTGGGAGCCTCTCCTGCCTCCTCAGCAGCGCTAAGGATGTCCGACTGCAGCTTAGGTCTGCTCCCCGCTGGCGAGTGGACATCCCCCGAGGGCTGTCGGGCTGCCAGAGGGATGTCTGATTGCCAGCTTAGGCTCAATCCCCCGGGGAGCAGGCCTCAGCCAGCAGGTGGTCATCCCCCTCGGGGTCCCAGACTGCGAGAGGGCACAGGCCGGGCTGAGGGGACCCCCCCCCCAGTGCACAAATTTTTGTGCACCGGGCCTCTAGTTTAATTAATATAATCCTAGTACAGACCTGGTGCACGAAAATTCGTGCATGAGGGGGGTCCCCTCCGGGGATGTCCTACTGCCACAGTCTGGCCTTCCTCTGTGTAAGGCGACCAGGATGATCAGGGGAAGGCGCCGCCCCCCATCACCCTACTGTTGCTGCCACTGCTGGCCACAGCAGCTGCGAGGCCTGAGCCCCGGGCCTCGCAGCCGCTGTGGCTGTCTGGATGGATGTCTGCCCTAATTAGCATATTACCCTTTTATTAGCATAGATGGCTTTCTTGTTCTGCCCCACTTGGCATTAAGCTCACTATCCTCCACTACTCAGCACAAACCCCAAATACTCAAACCCAGTTCCCATGCCTCCATTAATTTTCACACTCAGGTTGATTGCACATGTATATTTAACAACAGTTTTACATAGAATGCTAAGAGCACTTCATATTTTATAGAAGGACTTGAAACATGGACTTTCTATTACTAGTCATACCATAGCACAGCCAAACCTAACTCCTAAATAAAGGCATTACAATTTGTTTAAAGTTTAAAGGCTTAATGGCAATAAAAAGGGGAGGAAAAAGCGTAAATTTGTTTTACATAACTGAATGAAAATAAACTCAAGAAATAGTCAATAAAATTTAATATGGCCTCATGCGCCCTGAAGGAGGTGGTGCCCGATTCGGAAGGGTGATCGCTATGTCCAGATAACCTCCTATCTGAAACTTCTGCGACTGCAGGGTCATGGAATCATCAGTCCCCTTTCTCCCGGACATGGTGCTGCCAATCTCCTTCACCCTGCAGGAAGGAAACCAACTGTTAATGTTTCACAAATCATGCAGCTCCATACATACTACACAGTGAACATGGAACTGGATCTGCTCCATTATCTTACAGCACAATAAACCAGATATTAAGATAATACAAATCTATATTCCTTCCACTAATCAGATTCACTAAAGAGGTTACCCCCATCAGTTAAAATATATCAAAAGGGAAAAGACATTATAGGAACTAAAAATAAAGTTACCTACCGATAACCAGGTCTTTTAATATCCGTAAAAACAATTGCAAAGTTGAAGTGTGTGCCCTTCTTTCTAGCTTCTGGGTAGACTTCTTTTACTAAACTAGTCAGTTCTTTCAAGGTGGCATCCATCCTGAATTTTTTTAAAAAGACATTATATTTCATTAATCAGCAATAATGTAACAAGGATATAGACATACAAAGAGTTAATTGTGTCTGAATTGCGATTTATGTCAGAAACTGTCATGCTTTTATGCTTCAGTTAATTTTAAAACATCTAATAATACTATTTGTCCCCCAAATATTCCCCTTACCAGCCTCAATATTTGAAATTTTGATGAATTAAAGTCAGGCTATTATTGTTAACAGAGACTTCAGAATTATATATGCTATCACCTTATTGGCCTAGTGATTTACCCCTTTAATGGTAACTATTCCAAATTAATCCAAACACTTAAAATAACTGTTTCATTATTTCCAGGACACATACTTTCCCACATTTAGAATCTCTGGAATTGGAATGCACATTGGAATGAATGTGACAGGAAAGTATTTTCATGAAGATGTGCAGTGTTTTTCCTAAGAAGGAATCTTATGGTGAGTTTTACAATAGATGGAGCCCAGAAGCAGATGAAACAGGAAAATTTTGACAAAGCACAGGCTCCTTTCACAATGTATATTCTTGCCCTGCACATATTTATCTGAAACACAGAACTTAATATTGTCTTTTGAGTTAATATGACATAATCTGGAAAAAATCTTTTAAAAGATAAGCATCTTGGAAATAGTAACAAATCAATATAAATTTTTATATTGTGTTCTTTCATGACAACTGGGAAAATGAAATGGATGACCTGGAACTTGGAACATTTGCCTAATAGGGTGCTATAAAATGACTCAAGGACACCAGGCACTGATAAATAAGAAATCTAGCCCTAGCTGGTTTGGCTCAGTGATAGAGCGTTGGCCTGTGAACTGAAGGGTCCCAGGTTCAATTCTGGTCAAGGGCACATGCCTGGGTTGCAGGCTCAATACCAAGTAGGGGCATGCAGGAGGCAGTTGATCAATGATTCTCATCCTTGATGTTTCTTTCTCTCCCGCTCCTTTCCTCTCTGAAATCAATAAAATATATATTTTTTTTAAAAAGAAATTTCTAAAATACATCATCAAGCAGGGAGTCAAATGCCCAACAGGTCACTTAGTTGTAACTTTGCACCTATTTACAAATCTCCACACTACATCATACTCAAATAAAACCATGGTTTTAACCACAGAGAGTAAAAACATCCAGGATGACTACATCATCGTCCACTCGCTGTGGCCAAATCTTTCGTATGCCCAGAACAGAACAAAACAGAATTCCCCACAAAACATACTCTTCCTCGCATATTACCATCAAAAATACCATCACCCACTTAGTTGCCCAGGTCATAAACCTAAGCACTAATTCTTCAAATCTCTATTGTATTGTTTAACCTCCTAAATACAGGTCAAATCTATTTTTTTCTCCATTCCCACCATTACTGGTTTTATTATTTTAATCTCTCATTAATTAACTCTATATGTTGACTTCTATTCATCTCTGTCTCCATTTTTTTGTGTTTTTTTTTTAAGTTTCTCTTTTTGTATAAAACATGTCAAGCAAGCAACACCTGTTTCCAACTTTGGGGAGGAGTCCCATTTTGTAGAGGGCAGCAAAGAGCATAACAACATCCACCACCAGAAGCAGCAGCCCAGGATATCACCCCACTCCATGGTTTGCAGGTTGCCAAGAAAAACATGAACAACACTTTATGTGCACTAAAACAGCAGGCGCCAACCGGTGATCCATGGACCACTCGTAGTCTATGAGGTCCGAAAGGTTGGCGACCACTGCACTAAAAGACAAGCAAGATCCACTTCAATAAGTGATGCATGCAGGTCCCCCACTGCCAGCAGGTCTCACCCTGCAGCCAATGCAGAGAGGTGGTCTCTATGCATGCCTCTTGTGTTGCAGGTGAAAGATCCTGGATACAGCAGTGGGGTTGGGTAGGTGCCATATGATGCTTAAGCAGAACAAAGAACACACATCAAATCCAGAACAGGAAAAGAGACTCCCAAAGAGATATGCCAGCACGGGCTTGTGAGGGCTCTTTTATCTCTTTGCAAGGAAATGCTCTGGGCCCAAAGCCACTTTTCTGCAGCCTCAGCAAAGGGTGAGAAACTGGGCAAGACCGCCTTTCCCAATTTGAAACATGTTATTTAAAGGGGGAAGGATGGAGCCCATGCCATCTTGAAGGGGAGAGCGGCCTCTTCTAGGAACTCATCAGCACCACCACTCAGACAGGCCTGGGATACTGCCCGCGACCCAGCAGCCACTCCAGCCAAAATCCTGCTGCCCCACCCGCAGAC